CCATCCATATATCCATCCATCCATCCATCCATCCATCCATCCATCCATCCATCCATCCATCCATCCATCCATCCATCAGTCTTTTGCCGGGTCACAGCGGTCATTGGTGCTCATGTCAGGTGTACACTCTGCACAGTGGACTATTTTTTAAATTAAAAAAACGCTTGCAGTAACTGGGAGTCATTATGCTTCCAATTCCTATTTAAATTAAAGATTTTATTCATTCCTGTGTATATTTTGCTTCTTACTTTATATTTTTATTATGTTTTGACTAGTCTTTAATAATTTTCGTGTTGTTACATTTAAAAGGAAATGGGAATAGGAGACATGTAACTATTCTTTTGAAAATCTCATCAATTTATTTTTATTTTATGTGTGTTTATTGTTCTGTTTCTTTGTCTGAGACTGAAGATGAAACAAATTACCGTAGTCTGTTTTTAAAAGGGGAAATTGCACCCTCTATTGCACGAACTGTTTACAACCTCTTTGAATCAGCTTTATGATCATTCAACAGTCCAAGGCAGAGCCACTGGATGAATTTTAATGGAACTTGCATAAAATATTGGATCTACTATGAATACTGTTTTAAAATCAACCCAATTCCAGATGGCTTCTGAAGCTTACTGGCTTTAAAAATTACAAAAGTGTTTAATAATTCAGATAATTTTACAGGCTGACATAAAATTGGGTGTGATAATAGATGAGACTGATCCCCAACATGTATTCTAAGCACTAATAGAAAAACTTTATCTTTTTGGTTGCATATTTTTTTTCTGAAGAGTTTGGTTTCAGTTGCTTCCAACAGGCCTAAAGTGTTCATCACTCAAGTTATTCTCATTTGTTTGTGTTCATTTACAGCTGTTTCAACCTGTAACAGCTGCTGGGAGGTTTTTGAAGCTGTCTTTGTGCAGCTGAGCCAAGATAAATGTTCAAACTACCATCCAGATACAATGATGTAAAAGACACATCATTCATTTTACTAAATTTGTCTTTTATCGTAACATTTTGAAGCAACCAGTTTGTACGAAAATCTGACTGAAAAATGATGTACTCTTGGCAGGTTAGTAATAAT